CGCCCGCGACGACGCGGAGCACGTCGAGCGCATGTCCATCGCGCTCAACAACGCGTCGCGGACGGGCAAGAACCAGGGCGACGAGTACGAGGCGCAGCGCGCGGCCTACGAGGCCGGCGCGACGGACCTCGAGCTGCACCTCGCGACGCCCTGGTTCCCCTACCGCGAGTCGGGCAAGGCCCACAGCCGCCACTCGCTGCTCCGGCTCGTCGACGCGGAGGCGGGGTCCTGCGCGTTCGGGCCCGACGAGTACCTGCGGACGCTCCTCGCCGAGTTCTACGTGGACCCGCGCTACACGGGCGTGGGCCGGCGCAAGGCCGGCGCCGTGCGCGCCTTCGGGAAGCGCCTCACCGTCATCCACAAGGAGCAGGACAAGCGGCGCCGCGACCTCAACGCCATCTACGCGACGCACCACGCGACGACGGGCCTCAAGACCGCGAAGCCCGGCGGCCGCCGGACGACCAAGGGCCACGCGGACCCCAAGGCGCTGCTGCGCCGGTCGCGGCAGCGCGGCGGGGCGAGCGACGGCACGCGCGGCGGCTCCGACGCGCCCGAGGCGGACCTGCCGGACAGCGACGAGTCCTACGAGGAGCTCGCGGAGGACGAGTTCGACTCCGACGAGCTCGAGAGCGACGGCGAGCGCGCGTACTCGAGCGCGTCGTCGTCCGACGCCGACGAGGACGACGCGAACCGCGAGAAGCGCGTCTACGGCGGCTTCGACGCCGTGCACCCGGCGTCGCTCGGCCCGAACGCGCAGAACGCGGGCCTCGGCGGCAAGGTCGACGCCGCGGGCGGCGCGCACGCCGCGTCCTTCAGGAAGGGCCGCGGGTCCGAGAAGCCACCGGGCGGCGACGCCGCGCGGCGCGCGCTGCGGTTCCGCGCGTCCGTGGCGCGCCAGGGCATGCGCGGCCGCGTCGCGAACAAGGGCCCGCCGAAGAAGCTCGAGAAGTTCCACTCGTCGAGCTCCGAGGAGGAGGAGGAGAGCGAGGAGGAGGACCTCGACGCCGTGACGACGGTGAAGGACATCGAGGCCCTCAACGACCTGACGCCGCCGCCGCTCAAGGCGTCGGATGTGCTCTTCGAGTACGAGGGCAAGGTCGCGACGTTATTGGACGAGTCCGACGCGCTCGAGACGCGCGCGTCGCGGACGCACCGCTTCGAGATCCCCTTCGACCCGCACCGCAAGCTGCTGTCGATCACGGTCACCGTCGTCTACCGCGGCGTCTTCACGGCGCGCGGCTACCGCCTCGGCCGCCTCGCCGCGGCGTTCTTCGCGATGCCGACGGCGACGAGCGGTTTAGGCCAGCCCCGGTCCGTGGGCCACGCGCCCTACGAGAGCCAGCAGCTCAACTCGGGCACGACGCTCGGGCGCACGGTCCTCGTGCACAACCCCGACGCGAAGCCGCTGAAGCCCGGGCCCTACCAGGTCGTCCTCGGCGCCGCGTCCGCGACCAAGTACTCGATCACCGTCGAGGCGCACGCGGTGCGCACCGCGGGCGCGACGCTCGACGCGGAGAGCCAGCGCGCGAAGAAGATCCAGGACGAGCTGCGCGTCTGCCGCGCGGCGACGGAGGACCTGTGGACGTCCATGCGCCTCGGCGAGCGGAAGGTGCTCGTCGTCCAGGCGCTCATGGACGAGGCCGAGGTCGAGAGCTCGCGCTGCGAGCAGGAGACGGAGCGCTGCAACACGGAGCTCGCCGTCGACGACGAGCGCATGGAGCTCACGGACGACCAGCGGCGGGCGCTCTACGCGAACGTGCGGACGCTCGAGGTCGAGTTCGCGCACTGGTGCCGCCTCTTCGCGTCGCGGTCCCAGGAGCGCGTCGACCTCCTCGCGGGCCTGCGGCGCCTGCGCAACGAGCGGCGGGACCGGCTCGCGGACACGGAGCGGCTGGGCCGGGAGATGGCCTGGCTCCAGCGCCACCTGCCCGCGGCCTACGGCCTCGTCTTCGGCATGGCGGAGGCCACCCAATGCGCGCTGGACCTGAACACGACCTTCGAGAACATCAAGACGACGGAAGGCAAGGCCCAGTGGAAGAAGGTGGCGACCCTGAAAGGCCTCGTGACGTCGATGATGACGCCCGCGGAGGAGGTGCGCCGGCGGCACAAGACCGAGGGCTGGAACGCGCTCGCGCTGCCCGAGCAGCAGTGGAGCACGCTCGACCGCATCCGCTTCCCGGACCGCTACGACTGGCTGCTGGACCAGGAGCGCCGGGAGGACGCGGAGCGCCAGGACCGGGGGCTGAAGCCCCTGAAGCGCAGGAAGCCCAAGGCCGTGCGCGCGATGGCGGGCTACGGCCGCGGCGAGCTCGAGCGCATCGACCGCGTGACCTTCGACCAGCTCACGCGCCAGGAGCGGTCCATCTGGAAGCTCATGAAGCGCTTCCACAACGACCCCAAGCTCCTCGTCGACTCCCAGAAGAAGAAGGCCGACGGCTTCGACCCGAACCACGCGGCGACGGTGCGGTTCAAGCACCCGCGGAGCTGGACGAAGGACGAGCGCGAGTGGGCGTCCATGGACAAGATCCTCAACCCCGAGCTCTGGCAGGGCCTCAAGCTGCGGACCCAGGAGACGCTCGACGACCACGAGAAGGCCGAGGACATCGCCGCGTACATGCCGCCAGCGGACGAGGTCGCGGGCGAGGACGGGTCGCCCATGGGCGACGGCCCCAAGGCCGGCGCCTTCGCGGCGCCGCCGAAGCGCGCGCGCGCGGCCGGCTCCATGTTCGGCTCCATCGTCAACCAGGCGCTCCAGTCGTCCGTCGACGCGGCGGCCGAGCTCGCGACGGACGGCGCGGACTGGTCGTGCTCGCTGTCGCGCGAGGAGATCATGGAGGTCTGGGCGGCGAAGCACGCGCAGGCGTCCTGGGGCGTGGACCAGTGCAAGGCCCACGTGCTCCTCGAGCGCTTCAACGGCGACTTCGCCGACTTCTACGAGGTCCAGAAGTCGCAGCTCGCCGCGCGCGCCAAGGAGGCCGCGGGCGCGGGCAAGAACCGGCTCATCCGGGACCTCGACGAGACGCCCGTGGAGACGGATCTGGACGCGCGGTGCCGGAGCCTCCAGGCGGAGATGGACAAGGCCATCAACAACAGCAACGAGCACATGGAGTCGGCCGTGCTCCACGGCGGCGTCCGCCAGCGCTACCCGACCGCGGTGCTGCGCCTCGAGCTCGAGCGCGAGCTCGACTGCTTGTTGAGAGAGCAGGTCTACGAGCGCGAGCGCGCGACGCGGTTCCTCCTCGAGCAGGACGAGGACAGCGACATCGAGACGGACAGCGACGAGGAAGAGGAGAAGCACCCCGGCATGAAGAAGCCCGACAACGTGTCCAAGGGCGTCTACCAGGCGCGGAAGGCGGCGCTCGTCGAGACGACGAAGGACGAGGCGACGAAGCAGCTCGAGCGGGAGCTCGCGGCGCTCGGCCCCCGCGCGTGCTTCGCGTGCCGCAAGAAGCTCTGCGAGTGGTGCTCGTCCATCGAGTTCGACACGATCGCCGCGCGGCGCCAGGCCATCTCCGACGAGCTCGTCTACGTCCGCATGCACCCGGACATCAAGATCCTGGAGTCCTACGTGCCCCTGTCGTCGTCGCGCGGCGGCAATCCGCACTTTCGGCGCGAGGACCTGCTCCACGAGCTGACCTGGGAGGACACGCAGCTCGCGATGCGCATGCAGCTCGACGCGCTCGACCGCGAGCTCCACGACGCCTTCGCGACGACGAAGGAGTACATGGAGGTCAAGGCGCTCCACTCGTACCCGACGATGATGTGGACGAACAACGCGCGGCGCGCGCTCGACCGCGAGCACAACCGCTACGTCGCCATGGTCGTCGCGTCGGACATCGTCGACGACGCGCTCGACTGGATGCTCGAGGGCTGGCACTTCGGCGAGCGCGAGAGCCACTTCTCCGTCGCGGGCTACGTGCCGTCGCTCAAGCCCGACGGCTTCGTCCGCGCGGGCACGGACCAGGTCCTCGCGCAGGCCGCGGCGGAGGACCGGAAGACGAAGCAGCTCGCCGACGAGGCCGCGGGCGGCCCGCCGCCGGAGAGCAGCGTCGTCGGGTCGCCGCGGTCCAAGGCCGAGGCCATCGAGCAGGCGGCCCAGTTCCGGCTCGGCACGGAGAAGGTCGTCAAGGCGGGCGGCGACCGCGACAAGCACCTCGACTTCACGGAGCGCACGCTCAAGTTCGGCCTCTTCTCCATCACGCTCATGTTCTTCCGCGCCATGGCCCTCGTGCAGCGCGAGAAGGAGTCGTGGTCCGGCGTCCACGACGCCATCGGCGAGGACGACGCGAAGAAGGTGCCGCCGACGGACGAGCGGAAGAAGATGCGCCGCGAGCAGCAGCGGCAGGACGAGCGCCAGAAGAAGCTCGCGAACGCCCTGGGCCGGGCCAAGGTCGGCGAGGAGCGCACGCGGCGGCGCATCGAGAAGGAGAAGGCCGAGGCCGCGCGGAAGCTCCACGAGAAGGTCCGCCGCGAGAAGCGCGAGCTCCAGGCCTGCGGCCAGCTCCAGAGCTTCTACCGCGGCCACCTGGGCCGCAAGGCGGCGCGCCGCTGGGCCATCAAGCGCGCGGAGCTCGAGGCCATGAACGCGCTCATGACCGCGTCCGCGATCACCATCGAGCGCGTCTTCCGCGGCTACATGGGCCGCATCGCGGCGTCCGTCGCGCGCATGGAGATGGCCGAGTTCATCTCCATGGTCCGCATGGAGGAGGCCGCGGCCGACGAGGACGAGTACTGGAAGAGCCACTCCTACGCGCGCATGAAGCGCAACATCCGCATGTTCGTCCACTCGACGCTCAGCAACCGCAAGTCCAAGCTCGGCGAGGAGGACCTCGCCCTCATCCAGAAGCTCACGTCGTCCATGGAGGACGCGGACGTCGACGCGGACGCGTCGAATCGGTGATAACGTGCGTCCTTGTGCTAGGCGCCTCCGCTCCACCGCCTGTTTACTAGTCCGTCTTGTCCCCGGCGGGCGCGGCGGCCTTCTTTGCGCCGAGGCTCTCGAGCTTCGCGACGATGCCCCGCTCGCTGAAGCCCTGGATCGTCTCGACGCAGGCGCCGTCGCGGTAGATCTTGAACGTCGGCATGGCCGCGATGCCCTCGCGCCGCGCGAGCTCCTTGCACTCGTCGACGTCGACCTTGACGAACGCCGCGTCCCACGTCTCGGAGAGCCTCCCGTAGATTGGCACGGCCGCGCGGCACGGCGGGCACCACGTCGCGAAAAAATCGCAGACCAGCAACTCGCCCTTGGCCTTGGCCGACGCCAGGGCGCCGTCGAAGGCCTTCGTGTCGTGCACGCCGACGACGCGGCCGCCGCACTCCGGGAAGGGCTCCTTCTTCTTGAGGATGTTGCGCGCGACGAAGGCGAACACCAGCACGCGCATCGGGTTCTCCGTCAGCCAGCTCCACAAGCTGGTGAGGAGTTCGAGCACGAACATCATGGCGGACGAGGTGACGGCCGCGCGCGGCGTCGGAGAGCCTGCTGTGGACGAGGCGACGGCGCTCGCGGCGTCGGAGAGCAGGCTCCTCTGCGAGCTCGACCTGTCGCAGCTGTGGTTGCACAGACGCTGCACTGCATCAAGTACTGCATCATCAGCTTGTCCACAGCACCCGTCGCATTTTTTTTGCTCATGTACTTAGTAGTAGGCCTGGTAGTGACGAAGTTCATTACGGCGCTGATTTTCGGTATAATCGCCGACTGTTTCGGTTTTTTTGTTTTTTTTGTGCGCTCGCGACGATGCGCTCGGCGAAGGGCAGCGCGAGGCGGGCGTCGACCTGGGCCCAGCGCAGGGGCGTGGGGTCCCGACCTTTCCCGCGCGCTTTGGGCTCGCCGCCCCGGAGCCACGCGCGCGCCGCCGGCGCGAGGCTGTGGGTCTCGAGCTTGTCGATGGTGTGGGCCACGGCGCCGCAGAGGGGCGTCGCGAGGTCGACCTCCACGACGGCCGCCGGGTCGCCCGCGGGCACGCCCGGAATGTCCATCACGTAGAGGCCCAGCGCGGCCATGTGCTTTGCGAACATTTCGTCCATGCGCAACCGCGATTTGGTCGTCCATGTGCCCCCGCGTTTCACTTTTTTCTCGATGCTCCACTCCCGCATCGCCGTCGACTGCGGGTGGGGCACGTGGACCGTGAACGCGTCCGGCACGACGCGGAACGAGTAGTTCGCGCCTGGGCAGGAAAAGAGTGATTCAACGTCGGTTCAACGCGAGTGTTCCGCGCGCGTTCGTTCCGGAAAAAGCGTCCGCGCGTCGAGACCGTTCCGAGGGATGATCGCTCGTCCACGAATCAGCCGAAACGAGTGGGAAACGGCCGAGATAGGAGCCTTGAAGTTGGGGAAAATCGCACCCTTTTCCCGCCCTGGTTCGCGCCGCGCAAAGACGCGATCCACTCGATCTTGTTTTTGCCGTAGCCTATGTAGCGCTCGTCGAAGCGCGGCACGTGGCTCGCCTCGCCCGGGTGGCCGTCGAGGCAGCGCGGCACGGCCACGAACGGCTCGTACTTGTTGCTGAGGAAGCAGGGCAGCGCGGGCGCGGGCTCGGCGGGCCCGTCGCTCGCGGCGTCGCCCGACGCGAGCCACGCGTCGAAGCGCGTCGAGCCGTGGTGGTGGAAGGGCTCGCAGTGGCCGTCGAGCTCCTCGACGTACTCGAGCGCGCGGCGCGCGTCGTCCTCGCCCGCCGCGAGCGCGCGGCGGCGGCCCCCGGCGACGGCGTCGCCCTCCCAGAGGTTGAGCGTCCGCGGCGTCCACCGCGGCGGCGGCGGCAGCCCGGCCACCGTGCCGTTGGCGAGGCAGCGCACGAGGCCCCGCTTCGTCAGCGGGATGCGCTTCGCGAGCTCCGCGTGGTCGGGCAGGACGAGCTGTCGTGGCCACGCGGGCTTTCCGAGATCCAACGCGAACGCGGGGACGACGAGCGCGGTCCGCGGCCCGAAGGACGACCGGGCGATGGTCTGCTCGAGGAGGAAGCGCGCGTCGGCCCCGGGCCAGAAGTCGGCGTCCAGCAGGAAGATCCAGGGCGTCGTCGCCTTGGCCCAGGCCAGGTTCCGCAGCCGGTTCACGGGGTACTTCTGGTCGGGCTCGCGCACGAGGACGGACACGTGGACCTCCGGGCAGGCGGCCATGATGCGCTTCGCGTCCTGCGTGACGCCGCCCGGGTCCTCAGGCGTCACCGTCATGCCCAGGCTCAGGGGCCCCTTCCAGCGCTCGCAGACGTGGCCCAAGTTCCAGAGGCGGTCCGTCGTCGACTGCGTCACGATGGTCACGTTGCCGTTGGCCGTCGTCGACGGCGCGTCGGGCTCGCAGCCCGGCGGCACGCCGCCGGGCCATTCGCTCAGCGCCCGGAGGTTCTCTGGAGCTGCGGATGCGACCAGCGCGGGCCGGCCGCCCTCGTGAATGGCGAAGGTGACGATGCAGGAAAGTACGATCATCGCGCGGACGATGACGTGCATGGTTGCGATTGCGGGTGCCTGCGGGGGCGAGGCCGTACGGCGCGCCGCGAGGCCAGACGACGCCCCGCGACGGCGGAGCCGGTTTGAGATGCCCGTCGCCCGGGCGCCGGGTCGCTCGTTTTGGCTCGACGCGTCTCTAAACGTAGGGGGCCCGGGAGGAACCGCGGGGGACGGGAGGCTCAGAGGGGTCTCACAGGCGCCGGAGGCGCCAGTGGACGGCGGCGTCCTGGCGCATGCGCCAGTACCGTTTTGGCCGAAACCCGTCGCGACCGCTCGATTTTTCGGGCGACGTTCGAGAAGAGGGGGTCGGGGACACCATGACGGGACGCGGGGCGGCGCTTTAAGGATAGGTGCGGGTCTCGCGTGAGCGGCTTGAGACAGAGATTTCGATACACGCATCTCTGCGGGGCGACCGCCCATGAGCGGGCCTCGCCACTTCTCGAGGCGATTTCCATCGGCTGACATTTGCCCGGCAGCCCAGCATCGCCCTCGAAGGTGACGCGATGGTGCTCCGCATGCTCGTCGTCGCGACGTGCGCGCACGCGTGGCTGCTGGAGAACAGCACGTTCTGGCGGAGCCCACAAAGCGAGGAGCCCATGTGGAAGCGCATGCTCCGGACGACGTCGCCGCGGCGCCGCGGCGTGATCCTCTGGGCCCACGGGCGGTCCGCCACGGACACGTACTGCGGCACGCTCAAGGACAGCGCCCACTTCCGGTACTGCAACGGCATCAAGGAGGGCTTCAACACGAACCACCGCGAGGGCCGGGTGCTGACGAAGGCGCACCTCAAGCGCTGCGCGGAGCGGAACGAGATGCTCTCGCACGTCAAGCCGAGCCACCTCTCGCCGGAGGATAAGCGGGACCACCTCAACACGCCGGAGAAGTTCATGCGCGCGGCGCGGGAGTTCGGCTACGAGGTCATCGTCGCCGAGTACCGCGCGAACGCGCTCGCGCGCATGGTCTCGTCGTGGGAGATGAAGCCGCGGTCCGCGGCGGACACCAAGGCCCAGTTCTGCCTGCCCCGCGGCGACCTCGTCCGAGGGATGGACGAGGAGTACTTCCTCTGGCAGCGCGGCCTCCGCGCGGCGATCCACGAGCGGCTGAAGGTCATCGAGCTCAGCTTCGAGAACGTGACGCGCGGCCTCTGCGCGGCCGTGAAGCGCACGACGCTGGCGCTGGAGAGCTCCGAGTGCGGCGGCTCCAAGTGCGCCTGCCGGGAGTTCGAATCGCCGCACACGAAGACATCCAACCGCGCCGCGTCGCTCGCGGGGCGCACGTCCAAGGAGGCCGCGGCCTGCATCACGGCCGCGCTCGAGGACAAGCCCGACTACGCGTGGATGCTCGACCTGTCGCGAGCAGAGAAGTAAAATTGTGCGGTATTTGCGGCGATATCGAGAATGCTACGAAGCGATCGCTGCCGTCCGCGTCGGCCGCGAGCGCGCCGTTCATGCGGTCGAGGAAGGGCGCACGCGTCGCGTCCGCGATGGCGCGCCACGCGTCCCGCGTCTCCCGCGCGAAGCCGCCCGCGGCGCAGGTCGCGGCGTCCAGCACGCACGCCTCATGTGAGGCGGCCCATGAGGCCTCCCATGACCGGGCCTCGCCACTCTCTCTAGCGCATTACAGCTGTAGGCACGCACCCCCACTCCTCATTCTCCTCGCCACACGCGGTGCCAGGAGAGAGCCACAGCTCACCGGCGCCGAGGCAGTCGGCGAGGGGCTGACCGGGGCATTTGGGTAAAAAATCCGCTTCGTCCCCGAGAGGAAGAAGCTTAGGCCTACGCTTCGTAGCCCATTCCTCCTCCAGAAACGCGACGGTTTTTCCTTGGGTCTGACTTGCTTGGTTCTTTGATGCCTCCTGTCCTCCCGGGTTCTCCCGTCGTTCTCGGCCGCTGCCGTTTCGAGTGCCCGAGAGCCCGGCTTGTTGTCACGGGGCCGGCGTCAGGCCGGCGTCCCCTACGCTACCGTGACTTTTATTCGCGACGAACGATTCTTGAACCGTGCTGCCGTGGCGGTTCGTCCGCGGCGCCCTCGGCGGCGGTCATTTCAGCCCCTGTCCGTCGCCGGCCGGGTGTGTCGGGGGGCTCGGCTCCGCGCTTCATGTTCCTCCGTCGTCCTGCCCTGCGTCCTTCCGCAGGTCGGAGTCCGACCCGTTTCGTCACGGGGTCGGCCAGTGCTATGCTACCGTGACCTCCCCACTGTCCAGTCCGTTGTGAGGGGCTGACCGACAGACCTCAACTGGTTCCGCCCTGGGCGGGCGACTCCGGTTACCTGAACACCTCGGCTCTCGGCCGCGTCATCTTCACGATATCCGACCTGATCCGCGTGCGCCGTCGGCCGCCCACGGGCCGCCGACCTAGTCCCACGTTAAAGCACCCATAATAATAATAATAATAGCCCAGGCGACGAAGCGCTTGTGAAATTATCCAGACCGGTTGTCTACGAGTGCCTAAAAGGCATCGTCGTCGAAGGTGACGCGATGGTGCTCCGCATGCTCGTCGTCGCGACGTGCGCGCACGCGTGGCTGCTGGAGAACAGCACGTTCTGGCGGAGCCCACAAAGCGAGGAGCCCATGTGGAAGCGCATGCTCCGGACGACGTCGCCGCGGCGCCGCGGCGTGATCCTCTGGGCCCACGGGCGGTCCGCCACGGACACGTACTGCGGCACGCTCAAGGACAGCGCCCACTTCCGGTACTGCAACGGAATCAAGGAGGGCTTCAACACGCAGCACCGCGAGGGCCGCGACCTCACGCGGAAGAACCTCGAGCGCTGCGCGAGGCGGAACGAGATGCTAACGCACGTCAAGCCGAGCCACCTCTCGGGGAAGAATAAGCCGGACAACCTGAACACGCCGGAGAAGCTCATGCGCGCGGCGCGGGAGCTCGGCTACGAGGTCATCGTCGCCGAGTACCGCTCGAACGCGCTCGCGCGCATGGTCTCGTCGTGGGAGCTGAAGCCGCACTCCGCGGCGGACGCCACGGCCCATTTCTGCCGGCACCGCGGCGGCCTCGTCCGAACGTTTAACAAGGAATACTCCCTCTGGCAGCGCGGCCTCCGCGCGGCGATCCACGAGCGGCTGAAGGTCATCGAGCTCAGCTTCGAGAACGTGACGCGCGGCCTCTGCGCGGCCGTGAAGCGCACGACGCTGGCGCTGGAGAGCTCCGAGTGCGGCGGCTCCAAGTGCGCCTGCCACAAGTTCAAATCGCCGCACACGAAGACATCCAACCGCGCCGCGTCGCTCGCGGGGCGCACGTCCAAGGAGGCCGCGGCCTGCATCACGGCCGCGCTCAAGGACAAGCCCGACTACGCGTGGATGCTCGACCTGTCGCGAGGAGAGAAGTAACACGTTTGTGGGTGGTTGCGGCGATATCGAGAATGCTGCGAAGTGATTGCTGCAAGCTTACTGCAAAGGGTCAATGCTGAACCGGCTTGAAGACGCATGTTCGCAATGGTCCGATGTAAAAAGATGATGTTGGCACGACTCACCTTACTGTTGCCGCTCGCCGTCGCGTTCACCGTCACCGCGCCGCGCGCCGCGCCGCCGTGCGGCGTGCCACGTCGCGGCGCGTCGATCTTGGGCGCCGCAAAGAAGGGCTTCGGTGCCAAGGTCAAGGCGAAGCGGCCGCCGTCGCGCGACTCGGTCAAGGCCAAGCCATCGACGCGCGATGGTCGCGGCGGCGGCGGCGGCGCGCCCGTCGTGCCGCTCGACGACGACGTGCGGCTGGCGCTCGACGCGCTCGACGAGGCCGGCGGCGGCATCGAGGCGTACCTCAGCCCCGCGCTCTTCGAGGACCCGGCGACGCTGCGCGACGTCGGCGCGCGGCTGCGCGCGGGCGACGTCGTCGTGCTGAAAGACGCGTTCCGCGACGAGTTCGCGCAGGCCGTGCACGCCGAGCTGGCGGCCGACACGGTCGACTGGGCGCTCAACGAGGCGTACTTCGCCGACGGCTACCACCACCGCCACCACAACGCGTACGACGCGCGCGCGTGGAGCGCGCGCCTCCGGCGCGCGCTGGGCGTCTTCGCCGACGAGCGCACGCGCGCGTTCATCGGCGAGCTCGCCGGCCGCGACTGCGCGGGCGACGCGACGGGCGCGCCGAGCTGGTACAAGGCGGGCGACCACTCGCTGCCGCACACCGACTGGGTCGGCCAGCGCACCGTCGCGTACGTCTGGCACCTCTCCAAGGGCTGGCGGCCCGAGTGGGGCGGCGCGCTCTACTGGGCGGGCGCCGACCACGCGGTCGCGACGCATCCCGCGTCCTTCAACACGCTCGTGCTCTTCTGCGTGACGACGACGTCGGCGCACTTCGTCACGACGGTCTCGCCGCACCACGAGGGGAAGCGCCTCACCTTCAACGGGTGGTGGCAGAGCGCCTGGCTGCCCTCCGAGGCCGACGCCGAGCTCGACGCGGTGCTCGCCGACGAGGCGCGCGGCGACAAAGTGACGCACGCGCAGCTCCAGGCCATCGCCGACGTGCTCGCCGACCCGTGGCAGAACATCGACGCCGCGCGGCGCGAGCGCCTCGACGGGCAGCGCGAGGCCCTCATGCGGCGCCTCTTCCCGCGCGGCGCGCGCGCGGGCGTGGAAGCGTGAGCTTCGCGCCCGGCGGCGACCGGCGGACGTTGCCCGCCGCCGTCGGGGGGGGCTGGCCCCCGCGCGCCCCCCGGGGTCATAGTGTTTGTACTCGACGTCCGGGCGCGGGCCACGATGCCGCGGGGGGCGGAGGCTACGGCCGTCGCCGCGAGAAGGACGCGACGACGACGACGCGCTCGCCCGACTCCACGGGGAGCCCCGCGTGCGTGACGCGGCCGCCGAAGAGCATCGCGTCGCCCGCGGCCGGCCGCAGGGACACGGTCGGCGGCTCGGCGCGGTGGCCCCGCGAGTCCTGGCTCCAGAAGCCCGTGCCGCCGCCGGCGAAGGACTCGGACACGGGGATGAGCACGGTGAGCGCCTTGCCGTCCTCGTGCCCGAGGAACTCGTCGCCGGCGCCGTAGACGTTGACGGCGGGCTCGCGGCAGGCGAACTCGAGGCCGTCGTCGTCGTAGAGCCGCGCGAGCCGGCCGCCGAAGAGCGACGGCAGGCGCTCGTCGACGAGCGCGCAGACGCGCGGCAGGACCCGCCGGCAGACGACGTCGTCCGCGGCGCGCGGCGCGGCCGTCGCGTGCTCCGTGGCGACGGCGCGGCTCGTCGACAGCCGCAGCAGCCCCGAGCTCGGCTCGCCGTCGCGGCGCGCCGCGGCGCGCGAGCACGCGGTCGCGATGATCGAGCACTCTTCCTCGGTGGCGACCTCGGAGAGCAGGAACACCGCCGCGCCGGAGGTCAGCGCCTCGGCGCCGTCGCGCAGCGTTTCGGCGCCGAGCGGCACAGTGCGCCATCGATGCTGCTGCAAAGAGCCGCAGCTGCGCGCGGCGGCGAGCAAGAGCAGGCGCGTTTTCATCTCCCGAGGCAGACCATTAGATCAACCATGGTCATGCAAACGCGCCGAAGTTGCCGCTCGCGCTGCCGCTCACCACAAGCTTACGGATAGCGGCAGCTCTCCGACGGCTGCGCGCGCGACGAGTCGAACGCCTGCAGCGCGTGGGACACGACGAGCAGTAGCCGACGCCCGCGCTCCGAGTCCTCGCCACGCCGACCGCGCCGCCGCCGCCGACGCGCCGCCGGCCCGGATCGCCCGGACCTCCTGCGCGCCGACGCCCGCCGTCATGGCGCGTTTCAATCGCTTACCCTCGGACCTGCTGGGCTCGCAGATCTTCCGCTTCTCCGAGATGGACCGGGAGATCGCGAGATTACAGGCCGAGGTCGCGCGCCTCCGCGAGGCCGCCTGCCGGCCCTACCTCCGCGACGTGCTCGCGTTCTGCGAGACCGTCGCGTCGGAGCGCCTCGACGGCTTCCTCGTGCGCGACCTCGCGATCACGGACGACCACGCGCGCCACGCGGACATGCGGCGGATGACCTACGCCGACAAGGTGTCGATCGTGCCCGAGCTCACGAAGCGCGGCTACCACGTGACGCAGTTCCCCGAGGACCACTCGGGCGGCGCGCCCATGATGATCGACTTCGACGCGCCGGCGCCGGCCGCGGTCGAGGGCCTCGTGCTCCACCGGCCCGACGCGCCGCGCTTCGAGGTCGGCGCCGTCGTCGAGGCGTTCGTCGAGCCGGGCGCGTGGGTGCTCGGCGTCGTCGTGCGCCACTGGTGGCGGCCGCGCGGCTCCGCGGAGATGAACCCCTACCAGATCATGCTCTGCCCGGGGCACCTCCCCGACGACGCGGACTTCGAGGACCGGCTCATCTACGCGCCGGAGGACGACGACGATTTGATCCGCCTCCCGAACCCGCCGCCCGACGCGGAGACGGTCGCCTTCGCCGCGAAGATCATCCGCGACGGCTGGCCCCCGGCGCCGACTAACGCCGGTTAGATGCCGCCGACGCCCGCGCCCGCGGGGAAGAAGCGGATCGGCTGCGGCGGCGACTGCGCCGCGCGGATGGCCTCGATCTCCTCGGGCGACGGCTCGTCCAGGGGCAGCGGCGGCAGGCCGCGGTCGAAGAAAGGATCCGCCTCCTTCGCGTCGCGGGGCACGGCCCGGTCGTCGACCCAGGTCCCGAAGCTCGAGAGCCACTGCCAGCCGCAGTCGTAGGGCCCGAACGGCGCGAGGCGCCGGCCGTGGGACGTGTACTGGCTCTGCCAGGGCATGCCCACGAAGTGCGCCGCGCACTCGAAGTCGCGCGCGGGCCAGCTGAACTCGTCGACGCGGACGTCGCCGAGCTTCTTCGCGATGGGGATCGCGCCGGCCTGCTGGATCACGCCCTCGCGCTCGACGGCGACGCGCCACGTGCGCGAGTCCGCGGCGTACTCGAGCACGCGGCCGACGCAGAGCACGTGGAGCGTCTGGCTGCTGTAGTCGGACGATCGGCTCCGATAGCTGTAGCGCACCGTCGCGCCCGCGGGCGGCAGCACGACGCGCTCGGCGAGGTCGCCCGCCTGGTAGAACTCGGCCTCGGCGATGAGATCCGCGCGCGTCGCGAGGTCCAGCCGATCGAGCGTCGTCCGCCGCAGGCTCCCGCGGCAGTAGCTCAGCACGAAGTGGAAGAGGTCCGGGTCGCGGTCCACAAAAATCCTTCCGGCCTCGTCCCGGGGCAGCTTCGGCCAGCCCAGGAGCGCGTCGAGGAAGCCGCAGCGCGCGAGCGTGGAACGAGTGCTCGTGAAGGGCGTGCCGCCGACGGAGAGGCGGACCAATTCGCTCCCACCGCCGCCCTGCTCCTCGAAGTCGACGGCCGCGGCCATCGTATGAGTATGCCACGCAGAAGATGCAACTTCACATCCAATATCGGCCTTAAACCCCGAAAGGGCAGCCGCTTCAACCCGGGCGCTGCTAGCCGATGAAGGCGAGATCGACCCTAACGACAGCTTCGCTCTATGCGGTGTGCGACCTGGGCCCGGCGGCGCCTACAGCTCGCCCGCGGGCGCCTTGAAGCTCGCGAGGAAGGCGTCGTGGAAGCCCGCGAGGCGCTTGGTGACGGCCGTGATCTGGTCCTCGGGCGGGAGGAAGGTCGTGCGGAAGTGCCAGGTGCCGTTCTTCTGGCCGAAGCCCGAGCCCGGCACGACGACGAGGCCCGTCGACTCGAGGAGCTTGAGCGCGTAGAACGCGTCGGGCGCGAGGCCCGCGGCGCCCGCGGCGGCGAGCGCCGCGTCCGGGAGCGTGATCGAGGGGAAGAGGTACATGGCGCCCTGGGGCTGGACGCAGGACACGCCGTCCAGCGCGTCGAGCGCCCTGGCGACCTCGTTGGCGCGGCGCTCGAGCGACGACAGCTTCGCGGCCTTCTCGTCCTCGTACGCCTTGAGCTCCCTGCCGTCGACCGGCGGGTTGACCATGAGGCCCACGGCGATCTGGCCGAGCACGTTGGAGCAGAGCGACACGGACGCGAGCTTGATGAGCTGCTCCTTGACCTCCTCGCTGACGTTCGTGAGCTCGAAGTAGCCGCCGCGGAGGCCGCACTCGCCCGTGAAGCCCTTGGACACGGAGTGGAACGAGACGACGGGGATCGTCGACTTGAGGTCGTGGACGACCTTCTTGAAGGAGATGAACGCCGGCGCGTCGCCGTAGACGTTCTCCTGGTAGACCTCGTCGGCCATGAGCACGAGGCCCGGCTTCGACGCGACGAACTCGACGATGGCCTCGAGCGCCTCGCGCGGGAGCGACGCGCCCGTCGGGTTGCCCGGGTTGATGATGACGAGCATCTTCGGCGTCGCGCCGCGCGCGACGACGTCGTCGTAGGCCTTGGCGATCTCCGCGACGGGCGCGGCCCAGTCCGCGGACTCGTCCAAATAGTAGGACCCGAGCGTGCCGTCGTACATCGTCGCCATCGCCGAATACAAGGGGTACTGCGGCGCGGGCGCGAGCACGCCGTCCTTGGGCCCGCTCACGAGGAGCTGCGTGAGGTGGCGCACGCCCGCCGACGCGCCGTCCGTGAGGAAGATGGCCTCGGGGTCCGCGGCGATGCCGTCGCGGTCGCTGATGAACTTCGCGACCTCCTTGCGAACCAGCGTGATGCCCTGCGACTCGCTGTAGGCGCCGACGCCGCCCTGGATGGCCGCGCGGTAGGCGTCGGCGCGCTCGCGCACCTGCTTGGACACGCCCCAGCGCGGCGTCTTCGGGAGCACGACGTTCGACAGCACCTCGCGCGCGAACTTTGGCGGCGCCTGACCGAGCGCCTGCGGGTTGCCGATGTTGCACCGCACGATCTCGTCGAAGGGCCAGTCGTGCGACTCCTTCGCGAGGTCCGCCTCGATCTCGCGGGCCCGGTCCAGGATGAAGCCGCGCACAGCGTACCTATAGGGTGGTGCTCCGGTGTCGCTGCGGCGGTGAAGCGATGCGGCGACGCCGGCGCGTCACTGGGCCTCGACGATCTTCGGGTTCACGGCATCGATGTCTAGGCCTTCCGACTGCACCGAGGCGAGGCTCGCGGCGAGCGCAACGAGCGAGAGGCGCTTCATGTTCACGCGCGCGGCGCGGCGTCGGAGCTCGAGAGCGTGAAGATCGAGCACTGGAGCAAGAGCTTGGAAGGCGAGCTTGCCGAGCCACGTGGGTGTTGTCGTCAACGTCTACTTTTCTCCGACCAAGGACGCGCTGCGCCCGCGTATGCTTCGAACTCCAGCACGCCTAGCCCCACGGCCCGGGCGCTGAGGGAAGCCACGAGCTAGCCGACCGAAGGTGCCGCACCGGACTCGGAGCGCCGCGGAAAGGCCCAATTCCCAACGGCCTTGCCGCGCGGGGCCCGGCTGCCAGTGCAACCAACATTGCAGCGTGCCGTCCTCGAGGTCGAAGATCACGCCGAGGGGCCTCGTCATGATGATGGAAGCATCGAGCCAGACGCCGCCGTGCTTGGCCATGTACATGACGCTGACCCAGTCCGCCGTGATCGGCGGTCTAGGCGCTGCCAGTGTTCCCACTGGCAACTTGAATACGCACGCGCGCCGGGCAATGGGCGTCTTCCTGAGCTCCGGGACGGGGCCCTTCCCGGCCTTCGTGCGCGCGCTCAAGGCGGCGTTTCGCGCGCTCAATATCGTCACCGGGCGGCGAACGAGCTCGGCTTCGTCAACGCCCTCGGGAACGGCGATCGGCTAAGCGCCATCGCCTACGCCTACGTCGACAGATACGGACGCCAGGGCCCGGCGCAGGCCTGGGACCCCCACCAGAGCTCGCGCCGCAGCCCGCGGCTCCTCTCGGGCGCCGGCTTCGGCGGCTCCGCGCCTGCGCTCCGTGATCGGCCTTCGGCGCGGCGCCGCGTGCGCTCGAACCAGGCGCACGCCTCCCTGCTGGCTACTCAGCGCCCGCCGCGCATGCGGACCGGTACCCTCGCCGCAGCAGGTCGATCGCGGCCGGTCAGGCAGGGATCGGAGCGCGTCGAGCGCGCGCGTGCAACCTTCCCAGCGAGTTCACCGTCGACCTAAAATCGCTCGGCTGAAGAGATGGCACAAAGTCTCTGAGGCCGCAGCACAGCAACCATGACCGCGCCGCCGCGCCTCCACGTGCTCTGGCACGTCGAGCTGCACGGCGAGGACGCCGCCATCAACGACCTCGAGAAGCTCGAGCACGAGACGAAGCAGGCGCGCGCGACGCAGCCGGTGCAGGACGCCAGGGACCTCGACCAAGTCACCGGCGCGCTCCTGTGGAAGGTGCACGGCCACCGCTTCGGCGGCGGCGGCAAGAAGAACAAGCGCGCCTTCGACGAGTTCTGCGCCCGCGTCGGCGACGGCGTCACCAAGGGCGACGGCGACGCGTCGGGCGACGCCTACGCCGCGCTCCGCCGCGACGCGTCCGCGCACAAGACGGCGGCGCGCCGCGACGTCGAGCAGGCCTTCGGCGCCGTCGCGCAGCGCGACTGGAAGGGCGTCGTCGACGCCTTCGAGGCGCTGCGCGCGCAGGAGGTCGCGGCCGCGCCCGCGAAGCCCCGGGGCCCGCGGTGGGCGCCGCCCGTCGCCTACGACGGGACCGAAGCGGCGGACGCGCCGCCGCCGCCGGCAGCGCCGCCGCCGCCGAAGGCCGACGACGTCGGCGCGGCCTGGCTCGTGGGCAAGTGCGACGCGCTCGGGTCGAGCCTCGGCGCGCTCGACGTCGCGCTCGGCGTGCTCGACGCGGCGAAGAAGTCCGACGCGGAGATGCAGGGCGCGCTCATGGAGCTCCTGGGCTTCGGCGACGCGGCGCTCACGCTCATGGGCGAGCTCTGCGAGAAGAAGGCCGCCGTCGCCGCCGTCGACGCGCGCGACGTCCGCGCGATCGTCTCGGCGATGGGCGGCGGCGGCGGCGGCGCGGCGCCGTCGCGGAGCTTCGCGGCGCCGCCGTCGGGCGGCGCCTACCGCCAGGGCGGGTCCGTGCGCATCGGCGGCGAGAAGAAGCAGTCCCAGCGGTCGAAGAAGCAGCAGCGGAAGGCGCGCGCGGCGCGGACGGGCCCGTCCGAGGCGGCCGACTATCTGGAGGCTTTGGGCTTCGACGAGCGGTACCTCGCCCAGGAGCGGAGCCTGGGCCTCCAGAAGAACGTCGTCGAGGAGCGCATGTCCCACGCCGAGGACCTGCTCGGCGGCGCGGAGCGCGAGTACCGCGAGACGCGGAGCGGTTTGCCCGCGGGCGCGGAAAAGTTCTACGGCGAGGGCTACGAGGAGGTCGAGATCCCGCCGCCCAAGGCGCTGCCGCCGCCGGGGCCCGGCGAGCTGCGCCAGCTGACGGACTGCCTGCCGCCCTGGGCCGTCGCGTGCTTCCCGAAGTCGACGACTGTGCGGAAACCAACCGCTGGTTTGGGTGGCCCTGACCAAACTTGAGAATTCTCTAGCTCGGTCACATCGAAGTCGATTCGGCTGATTTTTGGACGAATCGATTGCTCTCGTCGAGTTCTCGGAGTACAGCCGAAGAGATTGCGTTGAAACTGTCGCATACGCTCACATTGAAGTCGGGTTGAAGATTTGAATTCCACACAGGTCGACGAAGGCGCTGAACCGCGTGCAGTCGGCCGTCTTCGACGTCGCCTTCAACTCGCAGAAGAACCTCCTCGTGTGCGCGCCGACGGGCGCGGGCAAGACGAACGTGGCCTTATTGTGCCTCCTGGAGCTCGCGGGCCGCTTCCACCTCGGCGACGACGCGTCCGACGAGTCGCCCGCGGAGCGGAGAAAGGCGTTCCTGGCCGATCTCGCGCAGCACAAGGCTGTCTACGTGGCCCCGCTGAAGGCGCTCGCCCAGGAGGTCGTCGACAAGTTCAAGGAGCGCCTGGCGCCCCTGGGCATGATCGTCAAGGAGCTCACGGGCGACGCGCAGCTCTCGAAAAAGGACGCGGACGCCGCGCACGTGCTCGTCGTCACGCCGGAGAAGTGGGACGTCGTGACGCGCAAGCAGGGCGGCGGCGGCGGCGGCGACTCCATGGGGTCCCTCGCGTCGCGGTGCCGCCTCCTGATCGTCGACGAGATCCACCTGTTGGCGGAGGAGCGCGGCGCGGTGTTGGAATGCGTCGTCGCGCGGACGACGCGCTTGGTCGAGAGCTCCCAGTCCCAGGCGCGGCTCGTCGGCCTCAGCGCCACGCTGCCCAACTACGAGGACGTGGGCAGCTTCCTGGGCTGCGCCGACGACAGCGTCTTCTTCTTCGGGCCCGAGTTCCGGCCCGTGCCGCTGAAGCAGACGTTCGTCGGCGTCACGGAAACGAAACGGTTCCAGAAGCTCGTCAAGCTCGACGATCTCGCCTTCGACGTCGCGTTGAGCGCCGTGGACCGGGGCCACCAGGCCATGATCTTCGTCCACAGCCGCCGGGAGACGTTCAAGACGGCCATGGCGCTCCGGGACCGCGCGAACCGCGACGGCCGCGACGGCGCGTTCAAGCCCGCGGAGGACCTCGGCAACCTCCTCAAGCCCTTCGCCCCGGCCTTAGCCAAGTGCAAGCACAAGGAGCTCCGGGAAGCCGCCGAGGCGGGCTTCGGGCTCCACCACGCGGGCATGTGCCGCGCGGACCGGAGCCTCAGCGAGCGCATGTTCGCCGCGGGCGCCGTCCGCGTGCTCTGCTGCACGGCGACGCTCGCCTGGGGCGTCAACCTGCCGGCGCACGCGGTGATCTGCAAGGGCACGGACGTCTACGACCCCCAGCGCGGCGGCCACGTGGACCTGTCCATGCTCGACGTGCTGCAGATCTTCGGCCGCGCGGGCCGCCCGCAGTTCGACGACTTCGGCGAGGCGACGCTGCTGACGACGCAGAAGGCGCTGCCGGACTACCTGCGCAAGCTCGCGCGCGCCGCGCCCATCGAGAGCTGCCTGCCCGCGCGCCTCGCCGACGCCATCAACGCCGAGGTCGCCGCGGGCACCGTCGCGTCGTTGAAAGACGCGGGCCGGTGGCTCGACCACACGTTTCTCGCAGGGCAGGACAAGGGTGATTCAACGTCGCTTCAACGTGAGTGTTCCGCGCGCGCCCGTTCCGGAAAAAGCATCCACGCTTCGAGACCGTTCCGAGAGATGATCGCTCGTCCAAAAATCAGCCGAAACGAGTGGAAATCGGCCGAGCTAGGAGCCTTTGAAGTTGGGAATTTCGCACTCTTGTCCTGCCCAGGTTCCTCGCCGTGCGCCTGCGCAAGAACCCGCTGGCCTACGGCTGCCCCTACGACCAGGCGCGCGAGGACCCGGGCATGGGCCGCTTCCGCGAGACGCTGTTGCGCGACGCCTGCAAGCGCCTCGACGAGAGCCGCATGTGCCGCTACGACCGCCGGTCCGGCGCGGTCGCGGGCACGGAGGTCGGCCGCGTCGGGTCCCACTTCTACCTGCGCCACGAGTCCGTGCGCGAGTTCAACGAGCGCCTGCGCCAGCACGCGACGGACGCGGACATCTTGGTGGTCGTCTGCTCCGCGTACGAGTTCGAGCAGCTCAAGCCGCGGAGCGACGAGGTCGCGGAGCTCGACCGGCTGCGCGAGTCGGAGGTCTGCTGCCCCGTGAGGAGCGACGAACTGTTCGCGTTGGCCGACGAGCCCGCGGGCAAGGCGGCGACGCTGCTGCAGGCCCACGTGTCGCGCGCGCCGTTCTCGGCCTTTACTTTAGCGTCGGACGCGGCGTACGTCGCGAAGAACGCCGCGCGCGTCTGCCGCGCGCTCTTCGAGATGGCGCTGCGGGCCCACTGGCCGTCGCTGGCGGAGCGCCTGCTCGCGCTCGCCAAGGCCGTCGAGCGGCGGCTCTGGTGGTTCCAGCACCCGGTACGGCAGCTCGCGGATCTCGAGCCGAACCTCAACGAGCGGCGCCGCAAGTTCCCCGAGGACGCGCTGCGCCAGCTCGAGGCGAAGCGCCTGACCGTGGACCGCATCCTCGGCGACCTCAACGGCGACCCGCGCGAGGTCGGGAGCCTGGTGCGGAACAATGCCGCGGGCGCGTCGCTCGTCGCGGCGGCGCGCAAGGTGCCGTCCGTGACGCTGGAGGCGGACGTCAAGCCCATCACGCGCACGGTGCTCCGCGTGACGCTCACGGTGACGCCGACCTACCACTGGGAGCCGCGGACCCACGGTCTAGGGCCCGAGCCCTGGTGGGTCTGGGTCGAGGACGCGCGCGCCGAGCGCATCCACCACTTCGAGCTCGTGCTGCTCAAGCCGCCGGAGAAGCGCGCGCGGCGGGGCATGGAGCCCGTCGTCGTCGCCTTCACCATGGCCGTCAAGGACCCGCTGCCGCCCCAGTTCTTCGCGCGGGCCCAGAGCGACCGCTGGGTCGGCGCGTCGGCCATGCTCGAGATGTCGACGAACGGGCTGCAGCTCCCCGCGGCCGCGCCGCCGAACACGGATTTGCTACCGTTGCGGCCCCTGCCGCTGGCCGCCCTCGGCGACGAGCGCTACGCGTCCTTCTATTCCTTCACGCACTTCAACCCCGTGCAGACGCAGCTCTTCCACTCCTTGTATCGCGCCGACGGCAACGTGCTCGTCGGCGCGCCGACGGGCTCGGGCAAGACCTGCCTCGCGGAGCTCGCCATCTTCAAGCTGCTCAACGACCGCGGCGACCAAAAACTCAAGGCCGTCTACGTGGCGCCCCTGAAAGCGCTCGCGCGGGAGCGGCTCAAGGACTGGCGGAAAAAGTTCGGCGAAAAGCTCGGGCTCAGCGTCTTGGAGCTGACGGGCGACGCGACGCCCGACGCGCGCGCCCTGCGCGACGCCGACGTGCTCATCACGACGCCAGAAAAGTGGGACGGCGTCACGCGCCAGTGGCGGCGCCGCGACTACGCGCGGCACGCGGCGCTGCTCTGTGTGGAAACCAACCACTGGTTTGGGTGGTCCTGACCAACTTGAGAATTCTCTAGCTCGGTCAAATCGAAGTCGATTCGGCTGACTTTTGGACGGATCGATCGCTCTCGTCGAGTTCTCGAAGCCCAGTCGAATAGCTAGCGTCAAAACATTCGAATACGCTCACATTGAAGTCGGGTTGAAGATTTGGTTTCCACACAGGCGCTGCTCGTCATCGACGAGATCCACCTGCTCGGCGAGGACCGCGGGCCCGTCATCGAGGCCATCGTGAGCCGCGCGCGCTTCATCTCGGAACAGGCCGACAGCAACGCGGACAGCCCGCCGAAGGTGCGCATCGTCGGCCTGTCGACGGCGCTCGCGAACGCGCACGATCTCGCCGCGTGGCTCGGGTGCGACCCGAAGACGGGCCTCTTCAACTTCCGCCCCGCCGTGCGGCCCGTGGCCATGGAGGCCCACGTCGCCGGCTTCGCGGGGAAGCACTACTGCCCGCGCATGGCGACGATGAACAAGCCCTGCTACGCGGCGCTCCGCGAGCACGCGGCGGGCCGGCCCGCGCTCGTCTTCGTCGCGTCGCGGCGGCAGACGCGGCTCACGGCGCTGGACTTGATCGCGCTCGCGGCGGCGGACGACGACTTCGGGGGGAGCGGGTCCGGCCTCTGGGTCGGCGACGACGTCCTCGGCGGCGAGCTCGACGGCTACGCGCGGGAGTGCGCGGATCCCGCGCTGAAGCACGCGCTCCCCTTCGGCGTCGGCGTGCACCACGCGGGGCTCCAGGAGCGGGACCGCGACGTCGTCGAGAAGTTATTCGAGCGGGGCGCCATCCGCGTGCTCGTCTGCACGGCGACGCTGGCCTGGGGCGTCAACTTCCCCGCGCGGCTCGTCGTGATCAAGGGCACGGAGTTCTTCGACGGCAAGCTCGGCAAGTACGTCGACTTTCCCATCACGGACGTGCTCCAGATGATGGGGCGCGCGGGCCGGCCCCAGTTCGACGACGTCGGCGTCGCGTGCATCTTCGTGCACGCGCCGAAGAAGGAGTTCTACAAGAAGTTCCTCTACGAGCCCTTCCCGGTGGAGTCGAAGCTCAAGGACGCGCTCCACAACCACGTCATGGCGGAGGTCTGCCTCACGCGGGCGATCACCTCGAAGCTCAGCTGCGTCGCCTGGCTCAAGTGGACCTACCTCTTCCGGCGCCTGACGCAGAACCCGAGCTACTACCACTTATCGGACGACCCGACGCCGGACAACGTCGACGCGTACCTCGAGGCGCTCGCGGAGGCGACGCTCGACGACCTGGACCACGCGGGCGCCGTGGAATTGGACGGGTCCGACGTCCACCCGGCGACGCTGGGCCAGGTGGCGTCCTACTACTACCTCGACTACAAGACGACGCAGCGCGCGGCTTTGACCGTCGACGACGTCGACGAGAAGCTCGGCGGCGCGGACGACGAGGCGCTCGCCGTGGCGTTCCTGTGCGACGCCGAGGAGTTTGGCGAACTGCCCGTGCGCCACAACGAGGACGGCCTCAACGCCGACCTCGCGCGGGAGTTGCTGCAGCGACGCGACGACGCGCGGTGCCTCGAGGCCCTCGACGAGCGCGGCTTCGACGACGCCCACGTCAAGGCCCAGCTGCTCGTGCACGCGCGGCTCCGGGACGGCGTGTTGCCCATCGCGGACTACGCGACGGACACGCGGTCCGTCTTCGAGCAGACGTCGCGCGTGCTGGCGGCGCTCATCGACGTCGTGGCGGACGCGGGCGCGCTCAAGCTCACGCTCGCGCTCTGCACGTTGAGCCAGGCGCTGAACACGTCCTGCGCGGCGCACCGCGACGAGCTCTGCCAGCTGCCGGGCGTCGACGACGACGACGCGAAACAGTTGCGGCGCGCGCTCAAGTGGAACGACTCGCGGAAGAAAGGTGTGGCGGACCTCCACGCGGTCGACGTCCGGCCCCACGTCGCGCGCCTCGTCAAGGGCGGCGCCCCGCGGGCCATGCGCTTCGCCGACGCGCTGCCCCGGGGCCGCGCGGCGCTCGCCGCGGAGCTCAAGTTCGGCGACGGGGCCGCCGTCGCGGAGGTCGGCACGTTCGAGGCCTTCGAGTGCCGCGTGGCCCTGCGCGTGCCGCCGCCCCGGAAGCGCGCGAAGAACGACCGGCGCCTGGCCTTCGGGTTCTGGCTCATCCTCGCCGACGGCGACGAGCTCGTCGCGCTGAAGCGCGTCACGTGCCACGGCGGCAACGTGGACGCGACGCTCGCGGTCCAGGGGCCCGACGAGGTCCTCGACGACTGGGCGCTGACGCTCTACGCCGTCGCCGACGCCGCCCGCGGCTTCGACGCCGAGCTCGCGCTGCCGGGGGTGCGGGTCGTCGCGGGCGCGGAGGAGGCGAAGGAGGCGTCCTAAAGTGGTTCGTTATACTTCAATGTGTCGGTCGATCTTCTCATCTTTATGATCTGGGTCCACGTTGAGTGACACGGGGCTGCCACGATGCGCGATCGATAGTTCTCGATCGTCGCCATGTCGCGGGCCTCGAGCCCGCTGCTGGAGAAGCACAACATCACGGGGCCGGAGCTCATGCCGCGGCCGCCGCCGGAGATCGAAATGATCGAGATGCGCGACTGCATGAGCATCGACCACGTGGGCCACTGCCACTGCGCGCCGACGCCCAAGGGCCGGCGCTGGCTCGGCGCGTGCCTCGTGCCCGCCTTCGTCATCGTCGCCGTCGCCGCCGCCGTGGCGCTCGCGGAGATCGAGCACGACGGGCGGAGCCACCACTCGTCCTCGACCGGGTCGACGTCCGACGGCTGGAGCGACGCGGAGGCCGTCAACGGCTGCGAGCTCGCGGCGGGGACCTACTACTGCAGCTACGGGTCCGAGGAGTTTCTACGGTTCGCCAAGGTGCGCAACTTCCTCGAGGGTCGCGGCGCGAACATCAGCGACGCCGACGAGCTCAAGACCTGGCTGCCGACGCTCGTGACCGTCGAGTACACGCCCGGCTACGTGGAGCAGGCCATCGGGTCCCAGATGCTCGACGCCTACGTCGCGTTCTCTCTCTACCTCCCGAAGCAGAGCCACGTCTCGAGCGGCGCGCGCGCGGAGACGGTCTCGGTCAACGGCTCGTACATGGTCGTGCTCCACACGAACGGGTCCCTGAAGTCCGTCGCGCCGACGGCGGACCTCGACGAGGACCACACGTCGGGCGGCACGCACATGTCGGCCTTCAAGTTCATGAGCCCGAGCGAGGTGTTGACCTACAGCAACGACTTCATGCACCAGGAGGGCTACCCGTACCTCTTCGGCGTTTATTAAGCGTTACATTCCCCGCCCGATCCCCACTGTCAATTGTCACGCTTATTTCGCACCGAACAGGTACACGTGGGCCTGGGGCCTCGAGTCGGAGACGGACGAGACGCCGCGGCTCGAGCGCCTCGTGTCGAAGCGGCGCTGGAGCGCGCACGACGTCCAGATGGCCCGGGGCGGCGAGAGCTACTGGCAGCCGACGGACCCCGCGGCGCTCACGAGCAACTACACGTTCAGCGAGATCGACCGGACCACGGGCGTCAAGCTCGACACGTACCTGTTGCCCGGCTGCGACGACATGAACCACGTCCAGGTGCTCGAGGACGAGCGGGTCGCCATCAGCGTCCTGCGGCCGTGGCGACGTTCGAGAGATTTTGGGTGAGAAATCGTCACCGTCGCGCTTGGTAGGTCGCCATCGTCTCCTGCCGCCTCGCGAATTCCGTCGTCAAGTACGACCTCGCGACGCGGTCCGTGGTCTGGATCGCGGGCGGCGCGGCGGGCAACCTCACGCTCATCGACGAGGACGGCGGCGTCCACCCGCCGGGGACGAACCTCTGGAGCGGCCAGCACAACGCGGAGTACTTCGGCGACGACCAGTACTTTCTGTTCGACAACCAGTACGGCCAGATGACCCCGAGCCGGCTGCTCGTCTTCGACGTCGACGAGCGCGCGGGGACCGCGACGGTGACCTACGCCTACACGTTCTTCGACTCCTGGCCCCACGGCTACAGCGAGGTCTTCGGCGACAACGACCAGCTCCCGACGGGCAACATGCTGACGTGCTGGTGGCCCAACGCGCTGAGCCCGGCGAAGAGCCTCCAGTACGACGTCCAGCTCCTCGAGGTGACGCACGCCGAGGAGATCGCCTGGAAGCTCAACGTCTTCGGGCGGCACGAGTGCCTCGCGGACAGCGACGACTTGTGCGACCGCAACATCCAGGTCGGCTGGAAGGTCTACTCGCTCGAGAAGCTCTACGCGCGGCCGCCGCTCTACAACGGCACGCTCCTGAACGGCACGCTGGCCTTCACGACGCACACGCAGTTCAAGACGTCCGCGAAGACGACGGGCGCCTGGCGCCTCGCGCTCGCGGGCGACACGCTCGCGGCCGCGCCGTTCGACTGGGAGGCGCACTTCCGCGCGACGACGGTGACGACGCTCGTCGACGCGGACGTGCCCGACGGCGCCACGCTCGGCCTCTACGTGACCAACGAGTTCGAGACGGAGGCCTACCTGCCCATCGTCGTCGGCCAGGCGTGGACGCCGTGAATTCGACCCCCGCTTCTACCGCATCTCCCGCGGTCGAGGCGCCCGCCGAAGAAAGCGCGAGGCTCCGGCCTGCAGCGCACGGTATTCCCCTCGGCCGCGGAATTCAAACTTCGCTTCTACTCTCGACTTGTGTGTCGTTTTCTTTTTGGGGGGGGCGGCCCGGCTGTGACGGGCCGAAGCACCCCCCTTTTCGACGGGCCGAAGCACCCCCTTGCGACGGCCCGACGCCCCCCGACGGTCCCCCGCCGCTTCGCGCCGTGACCGCCGTCCGTCGCTCCGGGCGGGCGACCCGCCGAACGAGCCGCGCGGCAGCTCTTCAAGCGCGGTACTCAAACGCCGCGGGTCGTCCTGACGAAGAAAAACGCCCGGGGCAGTTTAAGTTCACAGTATGGTCATGTTATGTACAGGGTGTTCGAAGCGGTATGTGCAGGTTTGAATGTTCAGGAGACGACGACGACGCGGTGTGTGTGCAAAAGGGTCCCGGGCGCGAGTCCGCGCTCAGGGCCGCGAGTCGTGGTAGAGGTCGTGGGTCGCGGCGTGGTCCATGGCCGACGTCCGGATCTGGATCTCGTAGCGCGGGAGGAGCGGGTCCCGCGGCTGCACGGTCGCGTGCAGCGACTGGTACCCGTTGGGCTTCGGCCCGCGGATGTAGTCCTTGACGTCGCTCACGTTGTCCTCGCCCTCCTCGCGGGCGAGCTCGTGGAGCACGCGGTAGCAGAGGGCCGTGCCCTCCTCGCCCTCGGACGCGACGACGACGCGGACGCCGACGACGTCCCGGAGCTCGTCGAGGTGCAGCGCGCGCTTCTCGCCCATCTTGCGGCCGCAGGACTTGGCCGTCTTGAGGCGCGACGTGATCTTCAGCGGGGTCCGCCTGAGCTGCTCGTCCCGCCCCGCGAGCCGCGCGAGCATCGAAGTGGACTTCTCGAGCGACAGGCTGTCGCGCACCCGCCTCCGCTCCAGCTCGCCCTTGACCGCGAGCATGCCCGCCGCGGGCGTCGCCGCGTTCAGGAAGTTGTTGATGAGGTGCGACCGGCGGGAGGAGGAGGTGGGGGTGGCCGCGGGCTCGGCGGCGTGCGGCGCGGGAACGTTTGTAGGCCTAACGTTCGGTCGAAGCGGCGCCGGCGCGCTCAGCGCCGACGCGCCCGCCGCGAGGAGGGCGAGGGCGAGCATGGGAGCGCGCAGCGGCGCGCCCCGGGGGCGTCTGTCGTCGGCGAACATTCGTGTGGCCTGCTGGCGCTTTGGCGCTTTTTCGAGCGTTTCGCGCTCGAACGGCTAGCCGGCTCTTCTCTCGGACCGGAGATCGCACGGCGCGCCCGAGCGTTGTGGCTGAGCCACAGCGTCGGCACAGGCCGCCGCGGGCCCCGCCGCTGGCCCTGAAGGTCGCGTGGCGTACCTAGACCGCTTCGCACCCCATCCCCGATATATATGGGCGCCGTCGCCGGCGATTCGCGGTCTTGGGCGCTCCGCGGCGCGCGCGCGGGGCCGAAGCGCAACGGCTGTCTCGGCGGCCGACAGGCGGTCGCGTTCGGCGGCGCGCGCGGGGCCCGCGCGCGGGCGCGGGCGGCCGGGGGCCTCGGGCGCGACCCGGCGAGTGCCTCCGGCGCGTCGCGCGCCCCCGACGGCGCCGGGTCGGGCCGCGCGGCTCGGGCTCGGCGTCGGGCGTCGAGCGCGTCGCGGCGGCCGGCGCGCGCGCGCTCCCGGCGGTGGTCGCCGGCCTTCGACCCGCGGAAGGCGTCGTTGCCCGCGCAGAGGGGCTCGAGGGCCCTCTCCGCGGACCGGACGGACTCCGCGCGCGCGCGCGACGCCTCGCAGGGCTACCCGGTCCGCGGCCGCGTAGGCCTTCGAGAGCTTCGTCGGCGCGCTCGCGGCCGCGCGGGCCCGCGGCGGCGCGGCCGCGCTCCGCGGCGCGCGCGACGAGCTCGGCGCCGGCGCCGAGGCCGCCGCGGCGCCCCGCCACGGCCGCGGCGGGGCCGGAGGCGCGTCCGCGAGGCTCCGCGAGGACGCGCGCGCGCGCGCGCTCGTCGCCGCGGCGCGCACCGGTAAGCTAGTCATCGCGCGCGCGACGCGCGGCGGGCGCCCCGGGAGCGCTATGCTTACTCGTCCGCGCGTGCTTACTCGTCCTGCTCGAGGAGGTCCTCGACGTCCGCGTCCTCCTCGTCGACCGCCTGCGCCTTCTTGAGCAGGCGGTCGTTCATGCGGACCCAGGCCTTGTATTCGTGCGCGACGTGGCGCTTGCCCCACTT